GGGTGCAAATTCAGCCCTTCCCATTGACGTAGTAGAAAGGAAGGGGCTCTGCAACGAACCTTCGCCCGACTTGAAGGGGAACTCTGCGCAGGCCTATGCATGCTTTGGCACTCAAAGCATCAGAGTTTAATCAGTGAAAGAGTGGACTTGAAAGCTTAGGAAGAAAGGAAGGAAGAACAAGAAGAGAGAAGGCAGAGAGGTTAGCCAGGCACATGCCCGGTTTCTTGAAAACTTAAACATCTGATTATCACGCTTACGTAATCAGGTCGACAGCATCAACCTCCGTCGACTAAGCAAGAGGTAATGTTCTCTTAGCCGAGTTCCTCCAAGCTTACTGAAAGTTGTGCAGAAAAATGTGTTTAGGGCTTGACTTTTTTGGAGGCTCGCGTCAATATTCAAATGCTTCAATTATTCGAACAAATATTAACGTATTCGAATTCTTTCCGATCCGTATTTAAATTATCATAAATTTCGAAGCATTCGAAATAAATGAATAGTTGCATAATAGTGCGAATATAACCCTCTGTAAAGGTGCTCTCACTTCAGTAAAAAGTGATATGTTGTGAGAACATTCTTTCATAAAAAACTCGTACTGCCGTGAAGCCCCTCTTCAGGGAAACATAATACCTTGAAATCTAATTTCTTTTGTTTAAGTTTAAAACATTGTTATGCCGGCTTACATGCTTTATGCATAGAACATTGAAAACGCAACATTTTGCAGGTTATGACTTGTATTCTACCAAAAGCTAGATTATACTGCTATTGAAAGTTGCTTCCACTTCCTATGAACTACAAACAATGATTTGGCACGTGCATTGTTTCAATTGAAAATTCTACAGTTTAGTTGGGTCATGACAGATATGCTCATTTTTCTTTATATCATGTGATATATATACTGCTCAAATTCCAATTGAAATTAGTGGAACCAAATCACCATACTCTTCGAATTCATATCTAACCAAAAATTTACTATTTGTGCTAGCCTACTCTTTCGTTATTGCACGACATTGCTTTATCGTGTGCATGTGACATTAAAAAGTACTATTCCTGGTCTGTCATTGCCGTAATTTGAATTCCGACATTAGGGGTTTTATGCAGCCTACATATCCTTATCGGCGATTCCGACTGCGGGGAAGTCTGGCCTGCTTTTACATAATTTCTTTTCATAAGCTTCAACCTCCCTTCACCCCGCCGCGGTGGTCATAGTGGCTGAAGTATGCGGCTGCTGACCCGCAGGCCGCGGGATCAAACCCCGGCTGCAGCGACTGCATTTTCGATGGAAGCGAAAACGCTGTAAGCCCGTGTGCTCAGATTTGGGTGCACGTTAAAGAACCCCAGGTGGTCGAAATTTCCGGAGCCCTCCACTACGGCGTCTCTCATAATCATATGGTGGTTTTGGGACGTTAAACCCCACATATCAATCAAGCTCCCTTCGTTCGTGCTAAACGCGTGAATAAAAAAAAAGAAAGTGCGCTTTTTGTTATAAAACTTTGCCTATTCGTGCAACGCACGGCTGATCGGCAGTCAGGATGCATTAATCTCGAGAGGTTTTTCATTCTCTCTGCTTCACTCGACAAGATAAAGCACAGCTGCAGGTAGTGGGTTGCGTGGCAAAGCGCAGACAAGGCACGACAACTCGAGGCTTCCGCAGGATGCTGCCATGCGGCTTACGCCGGACCGTGGAGTTCCAGCTGCAGCAGGCTTTTTATCGCATTTCTAATGCCTTCTTTTTTTTTGTAACCCCTACTATCATCCGGCCTTCTATGATGTTGCTCATCCGCGGTAGTGCGGGGGCAACTGATATTCACCCAAACCACTGAAGTGGCACACGCACGCTCATTTTCACAGCAATGTCAAAAAACTGAAGGCCATTGACATGAAAAAAAAAAAAAAACATTGAATTGTGCTGAAGCTTGAAGTGCCGTCGTTAAAAAGGTACCACGGAAGCACAAAGTTCGCTCGCGTAAACCCACGCGGCGACCTAAATTCCGGTCACATGGGCACGGGACATTTTGACAGGAACGTAGACGTGAAGCCAGGAATGTTACACGCCTAAGCCACGTTAAAATAAACCTACAGAGTTAGCTCAAGCCACATGTAAGAAATACCATTCTCTATGTTTTCCGGGAACATCGATCTGTTTCGGAAATCTGTCGAGTGTAATTACTGCCCGCCTCTACACTGCATGAGTCATTCATGGGCACAGGGTCTTACCAAGGCTTAAAGGTCCGGGTTCAGGCTGCGCAGTGCCATTAAATTGAGCAATAATAGTAGTTTCGAGTGTAGTTCCATTGAAATTTTAGCAAAAGACGGTGTATGTACTCCATGAACGCAAGGGCGTTGCACACTCTCAACTGGTGAAACTTCGCGCAGGACTTGTATGCGACACCGAGCCGCAGCGGCTGAGACAATGATCCCAATGCTCTGTTTACATGCAATGTGGGTGGAACTTCGGTATCAAATGCATTGCAGCGTTTACCTCAAATTGCGATTCCGTCTTGAATCGCAATTTCGCGATTCCGTCTTGAATCGCAAATGGAACGAAGGCCAAATTCAAATATTTGTTCAATAAAATTCATAATAAATACAGGGCAAAAAGCACAGCTTATCAAGAACAGTATACGTGGAAGAAGATAAGACGCGCAGACAGGAGAAGAGAACCAGGCAGCACGAAGGCTGATTATCAACTGAAAGGACGCGCTGAGGCGTAAAGGAAGGTAGGCACAAAACTTCTCTGCGCATGCTCAGAAATGGCAATGACATGCATTTGTCAATCGGGCACACATGTGGGTCTATACGCTTTAGGAGTATACTTATCTGGGACATTACGTCCCAAGACCACGATGCGAGTATCAGGAGTGCCGTAGTGGAGGGCTCCGGAGAGTCAGACCATCTTGTGTTTAAAGTCCACTGACAATCGGACAGTATACGGGACTCTACCATTTCGCCCCCTTCGACGTGTGACCGCCGCGGCCGGGGTCGAACCCGTGACCTTCGGTTCAGCAGCCTAGTACCATAAATCCGCTGCTCAACTGTGGCGGACGCGTTAGGAGGATTGGTGCTATATACTGTTCAATAAATCACGGTGTCTATAGTTACGTTTTGTCACGAATGCCTTAAGGTATGTTGTTCAGCCCCGACAGGTAATCTGTGCAATAGCCACCTCTATACGCCTCATGGTAAAGGGTAACAAACCAACACACGCAGTCATTGTGGAGGGTGAATCTTCGAGAGCTCCAGTTAAGTGATAGGAGCATTTTATCTTTACCAATTCTCCACCATTTAACTGACTGGCCATTTGTGGCGCCACCTAGTTGACAAACATTGCAAAACTCTAGTATGAAGACCTCAGCACTGTTTTAAGCCTAACCTGAAACCCGGGAAGCTTATAAGCCTGCCGTGCTGCTCGATAGGATTTGTCCCTGAAGAAGCGCACCCGTGTGGTATGTCAGACTGTATTATAGGATCAAGGTACCACCTAATTGTGACTGAACTTTAGTTAAGAATTGCGTGGAAAAGAAACTTAGACTCCTAGTAGCAAATATGGGAGCGTATTTTGCAATTATAGCTGACAGCATATCTCCAGAACAACCTTTGTAAGTAATTCAAAGAATTTGCAAGCTGTAACTCTATAGCCATCTGAATATATACGTAAGCTATGCGTTAGCGACCTCTCGTTAAGGGATACTCTTGATATGATCGTTGACATTGCTGATTGCTGGTGTACACAGCCTTGCAAGATATCCGGTTGCCTTATTTCAGAATATGTGGGATGGGCTGTCTTGTTCGCTTGTGTGCGGGCCAAGTCCCGACTATAGTAGAAAGTCGTGCGTTCGATTCTTTACGGGGGAGGCCTCATTCGAGTAGAGGCGTAAAGCGTACATGTGCCACGGATTGTTGTGATCGAAATAGCACTAGAGCCCTCCATCATGGCTTTTCTCAAAATTTGGAAGCAAACATCACTAACACGCCAGCAGAACAAGATTATCTTATACGTACCAGCTTGCCAAATCATGTTGCTGCAGTCTAAGCTTACGAACAATAATGACAGCAAGATTTTCTACAAAATGAATGTTGGTCTGCAGAACGTAAGTTTATTGCAAAAATGTTACCGCTAACATTTCCACATTATATCGATTTTCGCCTCGTTTCACGTATGTAGTGAGGACACTTTATTTGACATTTTTTTTAATTGAAGACAAAAAGTTCAATAAGGACTTGAGGAAGCATTACCGTAGTCTCTTAGTTTAATTAAGTAGATCCATTGGGATGTATTATAGGACGAGTTCACAAATAAAATAACCTATAGTAAAATTTCACGCAGGAAGGACAAAAGAACCGAAAGAACGTTGTTTCTTTTTCTTTGTCGTCCTCATCAGTTATTTTACTTACATTTGGCTAGCATTTTACTATGTGTAATTTTACAGCCTCATTACATATAGGGGCCAAAGCATCAGCATCTGTAGTGTTGCTGCGAATGCTTTTTAGTTTAAATAAAAATGCGCTCTCTTCGTTAGGGCAATACGTTTATTTGAAGCATCAAAACTTCATTGCAGAACAAACGATACGAATAAGAAGTGAGCGTTATGAGCCGCGTTCTTGAGGTTTGACACATGAGCGGGCATTACGCATACTTGATGTTTCGCCGGCTGTGTGCCTATTTTGCGGGGATAATCTGCTCCCGACGCTTTTTGGGAGCACCTTATTTAAACGTTCCGCTGATGCTACGACGAACAGTTGATGTCAAGAGTACTACCAAAAGAAAACTTTTCCCCGTGTAATGTTATTCAAGCTTTCTTGCAAGGTTAATAAAAACAATTACGATTATACAGTGGGGTGTAGAGTGCACGAACGGTTCTTTCACCGCTAAAGACGCGCGCGTTGTGTGGAGCAGCATGTGCTCAGGCCACGTCAACTGTTCGACGAGCACGGCGCTCGCGTGGCGCGTTCTCGCAGGCGTCTGTCTCTTGAGACGTCGCCCTCTTCCTGCACAGAAGCATGCGGTCCTCCTCGGCGCCGGGAAGCTCGCAGCTGTTCGCTCGCTCACGTGACTGATTTAAGGCAGCTCGCGCGGGGTTCCCGGCATCATCGGCGCGGCTGCCGGCATATGTGCGGCGAGCCGCGCGCCCAACGGATGTGCTTCTCCGGATCAGCGTCGCCACAGCGCCACCGTACCGTTGACCATGTGAAAGCGCCGCCCAACGTCACCCCAGTGCCTGCGTTCGGATGATGCCAGGTTAGTGCCGCATGACGTTGACCACCGCGCCGGCGTGTCGCTTTCTTACGCGTGCACAACCCGCTTTTTAGTGAGTGTAATCAGCTGACGCGCTCTCCAATTGTCTCTCCTTGTCAACACTTTCGCGCTGCTTCCTTTTCGGCTTCGTATGATGAATTGGGCTCGTCGAATGTGCTGCTCTTGACGTTACCTCATGCATGGTGCGTTCATGTGCTGCGGATAACAGCAGTCAGCGTTATCCCCGAAATAGACATTGTTCGTGCTGGGCTGTAAAGTCGTTTCTATACTTGTTCTGCGAGATGTCTTTTCTTTTCTTTATTTGTGGACTAAAAAATTGCCTTCACAAAAACGCGAAAGTCGCATCCAGAACAGTTTATGACGGTGAACCTGCTTCTTTTCTCTCTTCGAAGTGCCACAACCTTGGCTCTCGCACTTCAACACTTCCCTTGCTTTCGAGGTTTTATATCATCAACGATAAAAAACAGTGGCAAGATTTTTATTTCTTTTGTTCAAATAGGCTCAGTGTTGCTGTTATATTTCGAGCATTATAATATAATTAAGTCGACATACGTATACGTACCTCGTGCTATCCTCGGCTGCCCGACGTTTCCGGGTGCAATTATTCTTGACATTTTCTTTGCCGGTTTAACAGACATTAGGTCTAGGATCACTGCTGCTTTCTTTAATAGGCTGGAAGAAAAAAAATAACTCTGTTTTCTAGCCTTTGGGTCGGCTCACAGAACTGTCACTCTTTTGTTGATGGAAAAAGCTCAATAAAGTGTACTTTGACAGAAATAGCTGACAGGGAAACGTGTAGCGAACTTTGACAACGCTTGCGCAAACGTGGGTGACGGACTCGGAAATCTTTCCGCTTTCCGTTTGAATTCATCGTCAGTAAATCCAGCAAATCCCTTTTCACGTCAACATTTCTCAATGACATGCGGTGCGAATAATGTAAACAGTGTGTACCCGCATCTCGCCTAGACAGCTTTGACGTATTGCTGGCCGACTGAGCGACGTAAGCGCTTTTTTTTTTCAGTGTGCTCGTGTTCGACGACGGAAACAAAGCAGTGAAAAAGCTAAATCCCGTGGCTCAGAAATTTGCCTTGACTTTAGACCTTTGCACATTAATTTTTTGCTTTCGGGGAGTAAAACTGCGCATCTCTATAGCACGGAAACGATTTGGTTGCTTTTGCTTCGGGAGTGAATGTCTTTAGGGGCTGAATCTTGTTCTATGCAGACGGTGCACATTGACGTGCTATACTGTGGTACACAGAGTTTAAGGTTAGACAAACGCTGTGACGTTTGGCGACAAAGTTGAGGGGCGCGCGGGCTAAGCAGGGTTTAGACGAGTTGGTAACGATGAAGGATGAAAGGTTATTTACGCACAACTTCAAGGCGATGATAATATTATTAATAATGGGGGCTTTATACGCACCAAAACCACTATATGATATCAGGCACAGCGTAATGGAAGGCTGCGAACTTGTATTAATTATTAATTACTTATTTATTGTTATGTGGTGCTTTTTAGCGTGCACCCACATCGTACAGTACATGGGCAACAACACCCATCGAAATGCGACTGCAGCCGTGGCTGGAAGTGAACCATGTGGCCTTCGGGCCAGCATCCAAACACCGCAACAACTGTGCGATTGCGGTGAGCATGAAGAATGGAAGTTCAATGGACACATGCGCATGCAGAGCTTAGCAGAGTTCTGCTGATTACTAACAATGTGAGTTAACCTCGTAACAGCTTGTACGAAACAGCCAGACTGGCTTACTTTACCCGATGCTGCTGCTGCTCCGGCAGCTGATATTTTATAGCATCGTTAAAGTTTCCAAGCAGGCGCACACGGTATACCACTCGGCCTAAAGACGTGCGCACTGAAGAGTAGTAAAATGAGCTATGCTTTGTAGTATTCTTACAGGTGATGCTTGTTAAGCAGCGTATTCGAGGCATTCGGAAAGCAGCCGGTGAAGAACCAAAACAAGAATGGAACCTTCCCCGGGCACGGCTAATTGTATCGCACAGGATAAGTCGCAAATGATCCCGTTCTCGGTTACAAACAAGCTTCTGTAAAAAGGTGGAAGCACCTCGGCTACTACATTTATATGTTGTGCAGCAGCATCAGTAGCAACAACAACAAAAAAAGGTTCTAAGATAAATTAATGAACATGAAAGCGTAAAAAATATGCTAAAGAAAAGTTCACTGACTAAAATTTAGTTATCACTGAAAAGTAGCCAAACACACTATTCAGTTTAGGATGTGTCCAGACAACAAATCATAACATGTCACTTCATACATAACGGCATCCGAGAGCGCACCTTAAACGCCTGTCCGATTTTGGGCCTATTAAAAAGTCCCTTCAGATTGAACTTTGCCATGGATGACTTGCAGGCGGAGATGGAAGCAGTTTTCGTATATTGTAACGACGCGCTTGTCCAAAATTGCTTGTATTTTCACTAAATCTCATTTTTAATTGGCTTACTTTTAGCATAAAAAAGAAACAAACAAACAAAAAACGCAGCGTATACATTTTCAGTTTATTGACCAGAACACTTCTGTGAATTGGAGTGGTCAGTTTCGTTCATGAAACTATTCGTGCGCCGCACCCCTTCCATTCGAAGCCCGTTGTCATCACCATCATAATCATCCTACTTTGCAACCACTGCTAGACGAATGCCTCAGTAAATGATCGTCAATTCATGCTATCCAGTGTGAGCTGGCTCCATTTTACGCCGGCAAATTTTTTAAATTTTGTCATCTCATCTATAGCTTTTTCTTGTCTTCGGCAATGTTTCCCATTCATTGGTATCAATGTCATCGCTTCAACTGAACATCAGTTACATCAGTTATCTATCCTTTGCAGTGCATGACCTGTCCGGATCCAAGCCATTCTCTTCGTGTCAGTTATAGAATACGGACTGTTCCTGTTTGTTGTCGTTTAATATATCTTCGCCCCTTTATCACTAGTACCAGACGCAGGGTAGCAAATTGGAAGTGCGTTTGGCTAACCTCCCTGTCTTTCCTTGCTTCTCGCTCCATTTGTCTCCCATCTTTGTTCCATTATCCATGCTGACGTCTTCCTGTTTCTTAATGTTTAGCCTATCATTTCCCGTTGCACTAGCGTATCTGTATGTGATGTGGTTAATGTACTTTTGCAGGATTTTTTTGTGGGTAAAATTAGCATGAATACTTGTTTTCCAATATATTACCATTTATCCACAAAACACTGGGTAGACACTCGTCTTGTTACATTTCGTATATAAGTTAGAAATAGTTGTACAAATTTCCGTCGTCAATGTTTTTTTTTGTATCCCGTCATCTCATTATTTCTCTTTATTCCGATGAAATACTATATTCGGACCCTCCGCGGATGCATATGACCCTGTTTAAGCAACGTGTTGAACTATTTTAGTGGGTTTTTTTTTCAAAAACTCCTCGTGCAGCCTTTATTTGTGATAATTTGAAGGAGTGATTTACGGTCATTACAGACGACTGAATACTTTTGATTTCTCGCTCGTAAATTTACCTGCGTTGAAAGTACCACGCAATAAATATGTCACTTAAAATGTTTATGCAGTCTATAGTTTATGCATAGACTGCAGTCTATGCATAAATGCAGTTATGCAGTTAAGAATGCAGTTATGCAGTTAAGAATGCAGTTATGCAGTTAAGAATGCAGTTATGCATAGTTTATGCAGTCTATGTTTATGCATTTGTCATCACATGTTATGTGATGACAAATGCACAAACTGAGGCTTATTCAGTACAGAATCCACTTGTACAGAATTCCCCTCTGGCCTTCCGCTGTCTTGTATGAAATTGTAAAAATTATCGGACCTTTTGAAATGCACCAATTAATGCGTGACAAGCTCGCTGCTCTTCGTTAATTTCAAGCTTTTCGATCTTTTTAGTTATGGCTAGTGGGTACATGATCGCTTTCAATATACAAGGTGGAGTGATGGTGAATGTCCGCTTTGAGTTATTATTCTTTTAAAAAAGTGACACGATCCATTATCTTTCAGTCAATGTTATTTTATAATTGAGCTTTATCGGCAACAATGAACGACGGCAAGTTCCTGCTGGGACTTGATAACCGTATTTTTTTTTTATTTGGCAACTGTCTATGACCTATGCATGGTTGAAAAAACAGGTAAGGACAACTATTTCCGATTGCTTGAAAAGGCGTGCCATTCCCTGCAGGTTTATTATGGTTCCAACAATAATAATAATACATGGGGTTTAACGTCCGAAAACCACGATATGATTATGAGAGACGCCGAAGTTGAGTGCTCCAGAGGCTTCGACCAACATGAGTTCTTTAACGTGCGACTAAATTTAAATACACCAGCCTCGAGCATTCTCACCTCTAACGAAAATGCGAACGCCGTGACCGGGATTGGATACCGCGACCTGCGGGTTAGTCCCAGTGCCACTACACCACAATGGCGGGAATGGTTGCAAGAAGCCTCGGAAGTAAGAAAACTCTTCGTTCAGAGATCTTTCAGTCATGATCTGTGAAACTAAAAAGTTGTTGTTGCAAGGTAAACTTTGTTTTTACGGTGAAAGAGAAATATATGCGCTGCCTAACAGAAAAATATCAGTTGAATAGCCAGAAGGGACCTGCCAAGTGTTGTTGAAAACATATCAACAAGATCGTAGAATGTCATTCTTTGTATGTAGCTGCGATCGCCTTTATGTAGGGCAGAGAGGGCGTTTCATAAATCAAAGATTAGTTGAGCAAAAGCGTTCGTTGACTTGTGGAACTCCGTCTGACCTTTTCGTTGCATTGTCACGATTGCAGGTGCGTTTCACACTTTGCTGGCCGTGTACTTCTATTGAGACGCACATATCAAGGTCTCCTTATGGCTGACGCGTGGCACATCAATAATAACGGTAGCATGTATGTAAGTCGACCTAGGATTATCTTGCACAAAGAGGAACTGCCATCTCTAAATGGAGTTGTCTTTCACGAGTGCCCGCACGTGTTCA